TACCAACTTGGGCTACTTGTAGGTGAGCCAACAGAATCCACTACCAACTTGGGCTACTTGTAGGTAAGTCAACAGAAACCACTATCAACTTGGGCTACTTTCACTGTCTCTTATAGCATACCCATAAACCCAAAGTACAAACCATGTTTTTGAAGAAACTGGCCATAAACCAGGAACCTAAGATTTAGTCCAACCACACAAATCACTTGTAATACGTACGACTTTGCATTAAAATTTACAGTAATTCAGTTTAAATCTAGCGATACCTTTAGTAGAGTTCACATTAAAACATTACAGTAATTCAGTTTTAAACCAGTGATACCTTTTGTAGAGTTCACATTAAAACATTACAGTAATTCAGTTTAAATCTAGTGATACCTTTAGTAGAGTGATCTGATCCTCTCGTAGTAAAGAATCAAACCAAGGAACACGTTTCGAAAACTCCACAATTAGTTGAACTGTTAGTATTGTAATCTCAGTAATGTGTTGAAACCTTTGAAGTTCGTCTTCCTCACTGTCACCTGTCGGAAATGTCTATCAGGAATAAAAAGAAACTTATATTAAATAATAATTATTTGAGTATAAGCAGTTTAAATGTAGACACAAATATATATATATGATATTCCACTTTGAATTTAAATTCAATATTGTTGTAAGCTATATTTTCAATGTTTTACTTTAGACGTTAGCTGGTGGGCCCATGATGTTAATAGGTTAAACTTGTTACAGTAAACCAAGTAAATAATAATAACTACTTAGTTATACTGCAGCAGATACTCCAGTACATCAGCCCTTGGTGTAGTATTCGAAACAAAACAATCGTTAAACATGAGTAATGTTTTCATTTTTAATAGCTGGCAGCGAGCTGCTGAGTTCGTGTTGTAACTTTATTAGTCCCTTGAAAGAAATGGGATTAAAACATACACGAACGAAGGATAGTGTCGTTAGATTCAAGGGTTGTATTCTACTTTTCAAGAGCTTCTCTTTGGTGCTATTTTCTGCTCTACAGAATATTATTCCGTAGTTGGCGATTCTTATCCAACATCTAACATATGTGTGAAACGATACAGGTTTGGGTGTCTTTAAGCACAAACCTACACAATTCGTCATCTATGTTTAACCCATCGCGGGTATCGAAACCCAGTTTTTGGTGTTGAAAGCCCCGAGACTTGTCGCTGAGTCACCGCTGTTGTGTTGAATGTAAAAGAACTACGAGATTTATTTACTTCATAACTCTCACTTAGAGTAAACGATTACACCTATAGGTAGTTTCTATTAGTCATGCAGCGCCAGTGGCGTTTATATAAATAGGTTAGCTTCGTGTCATGCAGCCATCAACAAACACGTGAAAGAACATTTCCGGTCTACTCTGCACGGTTTTTCCAGAAAATAATCATTCACTCCCAGACACCACTAAAACAATTTCAGGAAGTCCAAAAATAAACAAGAAATCGATCAGCCCAGAGCGGGGCGAAGAGAATTTTAAATTTCTGAACACCCCTGGTTTTAAACCGAGAAACCTACTAATTGAAGACGAGTAACATCAAGGGCCCGTCTTACCCACCTCGTATAGACTCGTTTGTAAGATACATAAAATTAACGCTTTCGGAATCCGGAGCGTACTTGTTGTACAATTGAAAATGGTTAAAAGCCCAGACAAGAACTGGGCCTGCGAGACAGTTTTTGAAGCTCTCTATTAACACCGTTACACACCTCGCGAGACAGTTTTTGAGGCTCTCTGTTAACACCGTTACACACCTCTGCTGTAATACCACACGAAACAATTGGAAGCATGACATTATGTTAGAATTCAGTGTATTTATAAAAGCGCTTTATGGAAACTCATAAAAAAATAACAATAAGAGATCAGCATAATAATGACACAAAATATTAAAGAACTAACAAAACGTAAAAAACGACTGATTTCAACAGGTCAAGCGTAACAAAATATTAAAGAATTAACAAAACGTAAAAAACGACTGATTTCAACAGGTCAAGCGTAACAAAATATTAAAGAATTAACAAAACGTAAAAAACGACTGATTTCAACAGGTCAAGCGTAACAAAATATTAAAAATTAACAAAACGTAAAAAACGACTGATTTCAACAGGTCAAGCGTAACAAAACGTAAAAAACGACTGATTTCAAAAGGTCAAGCGTAACATTTTGACCTGCCAGAACCAGCTGTCTCTGTATGTTTTATAATAATGTATTATCTTACTTACATAACAGTAGTAGGACAGACTGGGAGGGGATATTTGTACCCCATGAACTCTATAGGCCTAATTACACCACTGTACAGCACCATATCTCATGACATGAACTCTATAGGCCTAATTACACCACTGTACAGCACTATATCTCATGACATACCAATGACGTGGAGGGGGACATAGTTTATTTCTTTCAAGATAGATTGTGTAAAAATGTCATTAATAATCTGTGATACAAAGTTATATGTAATCTACACGGCATATATATTTTACTGTGTATGTGTAAACTAACTTTTTTTAAAGTTTTGAAACAAAAAAAAACACACATCATGAATAGCTGGATGCTTTCATTTTAAGATTACGATCCATAACCAATTAATCAATTTTTCAGTTCGTGGAAGACACCAAGCATAATGATAATGTTTTCACTGAACTCCATAGAACTTTATATTTCTTTTCTTTCTTATCTCTACCAGGGAAAGAGGAGATGAGCCCTCCATCTAGTGAGCTCAATGGATACTTTGTTGATAGCTACGCAGATAGCAAGAAGAAGAACAAGTTACCTGCTTCTCGCCATCAGGAGGAGCTCTGTTTAGTGTGTGAAGATCGAGCATCAGGGTACCACTATAACGCCCTTACCTGTGAAGGGTGCAAAGGTACTTTTATCCATAGCAGCCTAGATCATGTTTAAATCACATTATTGACTATCACATGTATTTTGGGTAATCCTGCTACACACAGAACTTAAATACCATCAGTGTAAGATTGTTACTTTATTAAGATCAGACTTTTCAAGCTATTGTACTTGTTTTAAAAATTTAGTTTTCGTCACTCGAGGATAGAAACTGAGAAGTAATATAGAACAACTTTGTATTTTTGTGGTTTTATTGGTATTATGAAATCAATAATTTGAATTTGTCACGTGGAAATATCATAAAGTCTCTCAACTTTCCATCAGGACATACGAAAAACACCAAAGAATAAAAGTATAGTGAGGTTTAAGTATGTAGAGTCTCACATCTTACAAAAACAAGAGGGAATCTTCAATGGCCGCGGCACTTGAAATTCTTTTAGGCAGGATTAGAGTAAATTAATCTACGAGACCTTTTTTTCGTATTTATTAGCTATATATTTGTGCACGAGCAATACCAAACGTGGGGCGCTCGTATCCCGATTCGATTTTATTACTCATTAGGATCTCTACCAGCTTACCCTCAGATTGAATTTTTTTTTTAGGCAGAATTAGAGTAAATTAACCTTGGACGTGATCAAATACATCCAGTGAAAGGGGTTGACCTCCCGAGTCCAAAACTGTAATTAGATCTCAAATCGGTCAAGAGATGGCGGAGCTTTTAGCTAAAAATTTGTACTTGGAAAAACTCGGATCCATTCTGTGAGCCGCTATGCCGCGACTAATAACACAAAAAATAATGTTATTACACTCTTAATATATATATATATATGTGTGTGTGTGTGTGAAGTTTGATTTCACTACGAATATGAACTTGGATAGTGGAAGTTATTATCATATTATTCTCACACAAAACTTAAAACTTTAAGTTATTTAACTGTTCAGATCGAGAACGTGTTCTTCTCGTGTTGTTACGGTTTGTGAGCACCGTTGCGTTTCAATGTTTAAGTCATTAGTGATTACTGGAACATATCCAGTCAAGAACCTATGAACTAATATTGGGATTTGTTGAGAATGTTTGCCCTTACGTGAATTAATTAACTGGGCGAAGAAAAAACATGTATGAGGCGTGTTTAGCAAGCTACCGTTGTATGTGTGTATGGGTGAAATAATCTAACTTAAATGGTCAAACCTTAGGTATAGGTTGAAATTATTGTGTTAACACGTTTACTTAAATGTATAGCAATATATAGGTTTACTCTATAATATTACCAGTTATGATTTATATTCTAACTATATGTAAGTAAACACACGCGCATATATATATATATGATTTCACATATAGCTAAGTTAAAGAGTTATATACTTGTGTGTGTGGTTGAGGTTGGGAATCGTATAAGTGTAGAAATGTAGGGTGTCTATTTCTACTACAAGGTTATTGTAACACCTGTAACTGACTCCCCTCTACTACAAGGTTATTGTAACACCTGTAACCGACTCCCCTCTACTACAAGGTTATTGTAACACCTGTAACCGACTCCCCTCTACTACAAGGTTATTGTAACACCTGTAACTGACTCCTCTCTACTACAAGGTTATTGTAACACCTGTAACTGACTCCTCTCTACTACAAGGTTATTGTAACACCTGTAACTGACTCCCCTCTACTACAAGGTTATTGTGACACCTGTAACTGACTCCCCTCTACTACAAGGTTATTGTAACACCTGTAACTGACAATGAAAGGCAGTAGGAGTTGAGACGTTGTGGGTCTAAGCACTCAACTTCTAATTTGATTTTTCCGTAACGACTAACAAGTTTGACATTTGTGGTTGGATCATCTCTGATAGATGGAATATCCCCAATGTCTTTCAGTGCCATGACTACAGATTTTTACCGGTACGAGTTAAATGATAATGACAGGAATTGACCAATGGACTGCTTTCTTTTCACATAATACACTTCTCGGTGTTGGTTTTTTTCATCATTGTTAGACAGTGTTTATTTTATTGCCTCAATACTCTTAATATAATTTATACTAGTATTATATACTTACCTATATATATATATGTGTGTGTGTGTGTTATACCTACCTCGGCTCTTTTTCTTTTATATCAAAAACTTATTTTTACGGAGAACCTTTGTATAAATGTTACTGAGTAGCCTTAACCCTGGATCTGAATCCTTTATTTTCAGGTTTTTTTAGACGAAGCATCACACGAAATGCAGTCTACCAGTGCAAGTATGGTAATAACTGTGTAATTGATATGTACATGAGGCGGAAATGTCAAGAGTGTAGGTTAAAAAAATGTTTGAACGTTGGGATGCGGCCAGAATGTAAGTTAAAATGTGATTTTGTGACAAATTTTGTAGAACTATAATTTTATTTTTGTATGGCATGCAGCATTTTTGGTTAAAGTTTAATAAAAGCACTGTAAAAGTTACGTTTGTAAACAGTCTTCGTGTTATTTGATGATGTGTACACATGGCGGTAACTTGAAGCGATGATAGAACTAATACGAAAAAAACTACATCAAAGAAAAGAAGAAAAAGACAAGGTTTAATTTTTCATTAGGTTGCATGCACTTATAATTTCTATGCCTCTTGTATGGTGGCGCCACCAATTGTCGCTATTTCGAGTATCACCTTTTGAAAAAAAAAATGTTTAATTAATGCAACGAAACTATGTAAATAACATGATTTATACATGTGAATGTTTCCATGTCTGCGTCTATTTTGTACGTTTTAGTAGTTTTATTGTAATTAATGGTAGAAAAGATATATTACATACCTGACATCTGATATATTATTATTTACCATCACCTGATACATTTGATTTAAATGTATTTCAACTTACAGCAAAAGTTGCTAAGAAAGGCATATTTGATAGCACGCCAGTCATCTTACTTAGAGCATTAGGCTTAAATATAATTAGTATTTTTGTGTGACATTCACGTGGATCTATCACTTTTTTTCCGTAATAATATTAAATACATACACCAATTAAGATGTTTTTAGGTAATTTATTATTATTTTATATATATCAGGTGTGGTGCCCGAGCACCAGTGTGCCATCAAGCGGGAATCAAAGAAAATACAAAAAGAGAAAGATAAGCCTAACAGTACAACGAGAGACAGTGTTTGTGAAAAGAATGATAGAAGTAACCATGTGAAGCCGCTGGAACCCTCTCAGGAGGAGATAATTAACAAGCTAGTATTGTTTCAAGAAGAATTTGAATCTCCATCAGAAGAAGATTTGAAAAAGATTTCTGTAAGTTTTATAACGGTCACATTTTTGAAAATACAGAAGCGTGTCAAATTTGCCAGAAAATTCAGATTAGTAAATCCTAAATGAAATTGAAAGAAAAAAAAAAGAGATAATTGAATAAAACTTTTTTAACAAAGTTCGCGCACGTCGAGGGGGTTCATTAAACCCCACTATTATTTTGATGTAAACAAATTATACTTGGATAGTTATAGCGAAGCTGCTTATAATAGTTAATGTTTTCTACATAATCTACAGTCTTCTGATGAAGTATTAGCATTTTTTGGCTTGAAATAGTCGCATGCCCTCAGACCCCCGTAGTATTAGCATGGTGTTTGTGCCTTGTACAATGTGTGTTGACTTTTGATCTCACATATTAGGACCCCTCTTCTAAACATTCTGCGTACGGGCCTGTAGGTTAAAGTTCATCTTCAGATTTGATAATCATAATCTACATGGTATTTTAGTACATAAAACTATTGGTACAATATTAGCATAATCTATATAAATATAATAGTACTGTGTATTCTATGTCCATGTAACTACTTCGCAGGGTGTGAATGGATCTTCACCAAACTTGGTATGTAGGTTTATTGGGTCCATGGGGAGATACATGCAAACTTGCGGTTTCACATTTTATATTTTTCGGTTTTTTATAATTACATATAAGGGAAGCAACTTTTCAAGACCAAATATAACCTTTCATTAATCTTGAATTTACATAACTTCCGTCCAGGGGCTGGGTACTCCAGCTAGTTGATAACAGAAAACTGACTCAAAAATTTCATTTAAGAAATCGTATTCGGGTTTTGTAATGTTAGAGATGCATTGTTATATCGTGTTCTATTGTTGGGCGGATTCTTTTGGATTAGTTGATAAAATTAATGCCAAGTATACTGCTCATGTAACGATAACAAATTAATTTATTTCATCAATAACGTTTGCTACAGGCTACGTTCACTTTGATGCAAGTTGTAGGCCTAAGTTTACAAACTTTTCAGTACAAACTCAGCAAAACTACTGTAGGCCTAATACACTAACTAGTTTAGCTGATATTTCCTTGATTGATAACAAATGCTGACTAACTTACCGATATTGTGATAAGCTTAAAAAAGTACTAACTCTTAATGAATTACTTCGGTCTATCAATTGTTCTCAAACAACTATTTTATCATTATTTAATATATTTATACCCAACTCTTATTTCTACCAAAGTACAGGAAGTTTCTGAATTCTAGGACTATTTTTAATTTTATGAACATTCTTGATACATAAAGATTTATTATTTACATGGTTTATTGTATCAAG